TAAGCATCGAACAACTTTTCTTTTTATCTTACGCTAACGTAAGTATAAATACATATATATCAATAGATCTTAGTGACGATTCATCTTAAATTTGAAACAACATCTAAATTAAATAATTGTTTAATATATTCTCTGGTTACTGATATGATTATTTTAAGTAAGAGCATTTAAACTTAATTTACGATAAATATAGATATTTCGTTGAAATAAACGTGTATATATGAGGCAAGAAGAAAACTATCTCGAGTGAGTAACTTAAAAAAATAAAATAAAAAAATAAAAAGTCAACCGACGACAAATGTAGAGATTTATTTTATGTGCGTTAAATTGGACTTGCCAGAGATGCTGCACGTTCTTCCTTTATTCTCTTCTTTACCCTTAATACGTGGCTGGCTATGGTATCGCGACAATCGCTTCTCCGATCTTTTCCCTCTCCACTGTTGTTGTCCGTATTACGATGTGCAATAAGGGAGAAATTGTACAAGGAATGAACAGACAAGATGTTGATGCGTTCTATTTACGACGGAAGAGCGTGAATAACATTCGAACGAGCGAACGTTATTACGGGTTGTCAGATTTTAAGAATCCAATCAAATGAAAAAACATGTTCGTTTCGTTCGTACGAAGAGAGAAAATAGATTTATGTATATTTGCTTATATCCTTTCAGACTTACTGCGAAGTAGTTAGTCCAAAACAGCTGAAGGAATATAAAAAGGATGAACATAGTACAGGACAACTACGAGTACTTGGGCCTATCTCAAATTCAAAGAGTTTTGCCAAGTCTTTCAATTGCCCGGTCGGAAGCCGAATGAACCCAAAAAGAAAGTGCAACATTTGGGAGTAACTGGAAACAGTAGATGATATTTTCTTTGACTATCCTCTCGATCTAACTTATTTGATTTAATCTTGAGATGATGAGTTTTTTGTAAAATAAAATAAATAAATAAGATACGAAAACCATTTCATTCGACTTGCATTATTATATTCGAGCATCTATGGAGACAATCTAGTTTTATGTAGTCTCGTCTTTCGGGAAATAATTAGACGAAAGTAAATTATTCTATGAATTACTGCATATATCTATGTACGTAGATCGTGCGTAATTAATAACAGCTCTTAGTTACACGCTTTGATCCCTTTATGATAAAACCAAAGTGCTTTCATATAAAGGACATAGAAAGTGTCTCTTGATTATCTTGTACCTTCATACTGTAACCATCTCCGAAGTAATTACTTTTAGAATATTTTATATTTTAAGCTTTCAATGCACTTTAGACACACACGAATATTTATATGTGTCGATATAGAATTAACATCTTTTTTAATTCAAAGAAGATATATATCTTTTATATCACACGATCCTTATTAACAGAAATGTTATCGGTTAACAAAATAAAAAGAGAAAGGATTAAAATAATCAGGTCACAAAAAACGTCTTCGATTCACAAAGTATTTCTTATTTCTTAAAAGAATTTATATTTATTCAGTGGAAGATTTTAATGAATTTCGTGCGATCATGCGATTATGATTTAAAGCATTTTACTAAGAGATCTTTGTATATATATATATATATAAAGATTTTTATATATACAAACACCTTAGAATCTTTTAGAAGATAAAACCTTTTGAAATCTTTTAAAAGATGAAGACTTTTGTTAAGATATAATTACAACTCTTTCAAAACTATATCCAATTTTAATTAAATAAAAAAGACACAAATTTCGTCCTTACGAAAAATACATATCCTTTTAAATTTTAAATCACATCTTACTTCTTTTATAACCCTTGAGTCCGTTGATCGTGCACCATAGACGACGTTTATCCCTGAATTTCATCTTATCTTGCTGTAATTTTAGTATCTCGATATACGCTTTCACATTGTCCTACTCTCCTTATTGCACAAGGTCCTTATCGTGCCTTATCCTTACCTATGTACCACCTGTGGTAGGTATAACTATATGTATCTATATACTATACTATGTCGTCTTCCACTCTTACCTAAACTAGTTCAAACAAACTGGATTCCCTACTCGCATTGTCATTCGCCTTGGTAAGTTGCCTAACACAAAGTGCAAATAAGGCAACGGATTTTCCAAAGAGGTACTTTACTTGAATCTGTACATTTATGATTTTGCATATGCATTCGAGCGATCATTTGCTTCCTACCTGATTTTCCTTAAAAATAATATAATTTAAAATTTTAATGCAAAAAAAAAATAGAAAGAGAGAGAGAGAGAGAGAGAGAGAAAGAGAGAGAGGGAGAGAGAGAGAGAGAGAGAAAGAGAAAGAGGGAGAGAGAGAGAGAGAGAGAGAGAAAGAGAGAGAGGGAGAGAGAGAGAGAGAAACACATATTTGTCTATCCAAATCCGATTTCTTTTCTTCTATCTTATCCTTTCAAATCATTCGTCCAAACTCCAGGCTATCGTTGGAAAACTCTTTTCTTATCCGATACTGTCCGCTGAAAGTCGTTCACTACGACTAGACGGTTACAGCAAATTAGTTCTATTCGTTTTATTTGAGAAAAAAGTAGAAATCGAGGGATAAAACGACCTCACCATTTACTTTCTCTTTCTTTCTCTTTTCTCTTTTCACTACCACTTACTTCAATTGCGATATTTTAGGTTCCAATGTTTTAAATCAAATAGTTCCTTACAGTAACTGGTTTTCTTCTTAATTTTATAAATCAAAGAACAAAGAACACCGATTAATCGGCTCGTTCTTGAACGAATCAAACGTAGCTAAAAAGTTATCGCTTACTTCTTTTGTCTCATCAATTACGACATCTCAAGTTGCTCATTGTATTCGATCATCTCGATTGACCGACAAATTATCTTATTGTTAGGGAGAAATTAACATTGAATACTGAAGAAGATGTAGGTCAGAATTTTTTAACGATTATTACATGTTCGTCGAATAAATAATATAAATAATGAATAATCTTCAATATCTTTTCAACTCGTTTTTTTTTTTAATTGAACAATATTATTTTAGTTCTTTACGATTTAGTTGTTTACCATCTAAAAACGATTATCGTATTTGTAGAACTTTCATTACTTTTAGATTTACAAATTAATCGAATCTATAATTGATTTTACTTTACATATGAACTAATCAATGAATTATTGTTATGAAGTTATATAATAATCGCGTGACAATTTTGTTCGATTATTACAATTATTTTTAGTTGAAAATTGAATCTCTTCGATATAGCGATCGGTTGAAGAATATCTACACGTGAGTCATAATTGTATTAAATTAATTGTAATAAATAAGCATTATTGATCCTGATACAATTTTCTATTTATTTTTTAATAGATAAAAACAAATAATTTATAGAAAAGTATTCAAAACGATTAAACAAATAAATAAATAATGTATATAAATAATCGATTAAAGTCGACGATTGTACTGAAGCATTTAATCTGGCTATGTTTATCGAATCGCCATAGATCGTGCGGTAGTACGGTCGTTGCACAATTGGCAGCAGATTTTACTAGAAATGTAGGGCGACGTAATTCGTATCCAGAACTGATTCTCAGCAACGTAATCACATCGAGCGTAGCCAAATTAGTGGTGGTTTACGCTTTAATACGAATGGCGAGCGCGCCTCGGTTCACCGGATAAATAATCACCTACTGCGTAATTACTGTCTGATTTTATGTCTCTGCGTATCACCAACAATTTACCAATTTCTAACGCACTATACTATATTGTATTAATCGATAAAATGTCAAGAGATTATTTTTGATTCTGGGTAGAACACACTGAAAATACAAATCCGTCGTATAGTAAATTTTTAACGATAAATGTATAAATTTATAAATAAACTTGAAGATTATTGAATGAAGACAGTTTGTTTTAAAGTTTTTTTTTTTTCATTTTTACAAAAAAGGATTTAATATCGCATTTTGCGAGCAACACGTTGCGTCGTGAACTATTGCATCTTAGAGCATCCGCGTGAAATCATATTTGCAAGGAACTGCAGAATCCTCAAGGAAGCCAACGTATTCCTTGCCAAACCCTTAATTGCATCTTATCGCATTCAGTTTGCTCGGAGAAAATAAATCTCACTGTTAAAAGAAAAGACTGCGACAATTTGTGAAAAGAGAAAAGAGCACGACTCTTTCTTTCCCTTCTCATTGTTACATCAAAAGAACATTATTTGTAGTCTTTTATTTGACTTTTTCACCTTATGACCTATTCCGTTTGTTCGTGAGAAAAGGTTATTCACGTTTCGAAGGTAACATTGTTATTTCAATGAATTCAACATTGTTATAGTTCGGTAATTGTGAAAAGAATCACGTCATTTTTTCAAAGATAACTCTTAAAGTTTTTTACGATTTCGCAAATGCACGAAAAAAAAGCTTCAACCCCTTCAACCCCTTCAACCCCTTGTTCCTGTAAGGTCGTTAAACTCGTCGAAATCTTGGAACGTTTACCTACTCAGAGTAAATATGCTTTCTACGATCTCACCTAGGATAGGAAGAATACTCTATGCACACATCCCCTATTCATTCACATAGAAAGGATGTTCCACGTTTGTTGACGAACCGTTCCCCAACATCTATTTAATATTAATGGATCATCATGAAGAGAGAGAAAAAAAATAGTTACTTTTAAAAGACCTTTTTAAATTTCAAGCTCGATCTATATAAAAACTTGGCAATTGATACAAGCATTATCGAACCGGTTATAAAACCTTAGACAGTATAAAATGAAATATTTTAAGTACTTTAAAAAATTAATATTTTCATTATTACGAATTATATTTAATAGTTATAAAATGGCGGTAATATAATAAATGTTCTATAAATGCATAAACAAACTCGATGATGTTCATGTACGTATTTTAAATACTAAATATATATATTTTTTTAACTAACAAAAAAAAAAAAATATATATATATATATACATCTGTAATATATATATACATCTTTAATATACATCTATATATACATATATATATACATCTTTAATAAAGTTTTTAGTGTTACTTACCGATCGCTGTACAGACACCCACGATCCTTGTCAATGTTCCCAAATGCGTATCGGTTGATCTAACGTAAGTCGACATACCGTCTTCTGGGTTATTTTCGCTGGAATGATTCATATGGATCACCATAAAAAAAAACACGAAGGAACAATTGTTGACAACGCCAAGTTGTAATCTCTGAAAAAAGGATAGTCCTTCAAAAATTCGAACTTGTGCTATTTCTTAATTGTATCACGTACCGCCGATCCGTTACTACGTGATTCGAATCAAAACCTCACTGAAACGGAAGCCAACTATTGAAACATAAAACTCTTATATAAAGAAATAAAATTCGATGATTTTCTTATAGAAAATATTAAACAATAATAATTTGTAATATATAAAAAATATACGTGTAAAAAATAACAATTATTTACATAATTAAATGTAATATATTATTTGACTTGTAGAACGAGACCGGAAGACGCGTGGAAATAATCGTCCAATGTAAACCAATGTAGTCTAGCGGCGCGAAATATAAACGCTTGAAATAACGCGACACGTTCACTATTCGAAAGGTCGCGTACGACTGAGAGGGTAAGCTCATCCAGCAAGATTGTCACAGCATCCCTGTGCCAAAATCCACACCTGCGCACTTGATATTTACTTTTACTCAGTCTCTTTATATACGAGAACTTACATATTTTTAATTGTAAACAAATAATTGTGTTTAATTGATAATGCAATTTTCGATTAATTAGAAACAAATATGCCAATATTAATTTAAGGATAATTATTTTTTTGATAGTTTTATATACACATATGTAATTCATACAATTTTTTAATGGTATTCAAAAAGATAATCATTCAAATAAAATTTAATTTCCTTTCTTTTTTTTTTTTTTTTTTTTTATCTGATCATAGATTTCATATTTTTTAATGTATTGGAATGATACTATCGTAATTACTATTTTTCTATTTATTTTTTAAGGCACACTTTATATAACAATTTATATATGAATATCATACATTAACAGATCTCAAGGATATACACATTTACAAACAAATAAGCAATGATCATAAATTGGTATACTTCACCTATTTACAATAAACGCATTTTCATGTATAACAATGTGCAATTATAAAAATATATTTGATTGCTCACGAAAGCATGTGTATTACATACTTATATAACTAATAAACATCGAGTGAGGTAGACATCATTACGATACAGTTAATGATTAAACAACAGTATTTAAAATACATGTATATCATATATATATATATTAAAAAAATATTATTATATTATATTATTAAAAACATTGAATATTATAAATAGTTCTTTTCTACACACTGTATTAAATTTTGTATTCAAAACAAAATCAAATGTGCACATCTTTTACAATATAATTAATTTATAAAATGATTTCGATATTATTAAAAAAAAAAATCACATTAAGAATTCCTGATTTTTATAAAAATACATAATACTTTCATTAATATGCATATTATATTGCCACAATAAAATATTTTTATTCTTGCATAGTGAATATCAAATTAATTATTTAAAGTGAAATTATATAAATAAAATGTTAATTAATCTTTTTTAATTAATTTCTGGTCCCACAGTTAAACTTTTGCCAGAGCAACATATATATATCTTATGAATCTTATTATATTTATAGAACTAATCATTTCGAGATAACGAAAGCATATTTTACGATTCGCCTTATAACAATATATACTACTAATCGCATATTAAATGTTATTTTTCATTTTTGACTGTAACTTTTTTTTTCCTACTTACAGTATTTCTAGGACTATAATCCCAATTACTTGTGAACAAAGCTGATTTTGGAACCTGTCCTGTAGTAATATGCTTACCTTGAATTTCTAGAACATCGTTATTCTTATCGCGTATAATTTTTGCAGTAGAGGACATTATTGAACGTGAAATAGGACTTAAAGGTTTTATACTGCGCTGTAATACAGCTGGTGACGCAACCAACGACGATGACCTGGAATAAAAATTGTTATTATTTTTATCATTTTATCATAAGTCACAGCTCGTTAATATACCTGTTTTTACTGCTGGGGAGCCTTGAAGTATCTATAGGAGCAAGTCTAAGATTTTTTGGCCACACAGCTGGAGATACAGGTGCTTGCCAAGCAGAATGAGTATCTGGCATTCTAATACTATTTGATTTCCACAATGGCTTAATGTTAGAAAAAGAATTTCTAGCAGATCCTATAACAAGACATTATTATATATCAGTTAATTAATATGTTATATCTATTATATTATATTATATCATATCATACATTAAAATACATATTACCTTGAGAAGATGAAATTTCTAAAGCTTGTCCCATGAATCTAATAGGTACGGTTTTTAAAGTTGAAAAACTTTCTCTGGTAGATACAGCAAAAGGCACGGGACTAACTACAATTTTTTCATTAAAAACAGTACCAAGTTTATTTCTGCTTTGTTGTGGAGTGTACAGTCTCTCTTTTTCAGCATTTACATCATTTCCCATTTTTTTTAAACCTTTTACTTTACTCGCAGAAATGGAATGCTCTTTTCTCCTGTTGACATAAATATATTTAAATACAAGATATATAAGCATACATGTATGCCATAAATACTTATTTTTCTTTAAATATACCTTTCGGAGGAATGTTTATTTCTTTTAATAGTTTCAAGCTTTGATTTGTCAGAAATATTTTCCTCATGTTGTTTTATATTACTGAGATCTAAAGAATCATCCTCAAAATGATCATGATATAAAATTTGATCACCTGATCTAGTAGATTTAGAACTTTTTGTAAATGTTCTATTCCTACACATAGGTGCAGGAGTAATTTTTAATACTTTATCTAATGTACTATCTATTGTGTCTGTATCATCATTTTTAGTTGGAAATAATTGAGCATTTATGTATTCCAAGATAATATTAAAAACATCTTCTTTTAATCTTTTATTTTTTGAATTGTTTGAAGATTCATTGATATCCTGTAAAAAAAAAAACCATTTTTAAAGTTATATTTTCATTTAGAATATACTTCAATTAAAAAAAAAAAATGACATTTTATATAAATACATCATTATTAGAAATATAAACATATACCTTTGTTACTTGATAATGTTCAATAGATAGTTTTGAACTATCACAATGATCAGATGGTTTTTGTACTTCTTTTTTATCTGCATTATAATCTGTGGATTTACAGATACTTTTATCGAACAATCCTTTTCCAATAACTCTCAAATGTGGTATTTGCATTTTCCATTGCGTACACTCTTCCAAAATTTCATTATTGGACAAGTTATTAGTTTCATTATAGAGAACTTTGTCAATTGCGTCCCATTGTTGAAGTAATTTCTCAGTTGCAACATTTTCCATTTCCTCAGGCCATGACAAAGACGTTGAGATACTAGTTCGATCCCAGCTTGTTGGACTAGTAATTCTTTTAGAAAATTCTTTTCTTTGTATATCTGGTAATGGAACTCCACACAACTCATGTTCATAAGCTTCATCGTCTCGTAGTCTTAATAGATGTTGAGGTGCTTTTATCTTTTGTGTGGTTGAACTAAATCTATATATAAAAAGTATATTTGTTTACTTCTCAGATATTATTAAAAGTAACTTTAATATTAACTCTTACAGATAAATATTAATTATTTTATAATTATACTGTAAGTTATAAAATTAATTTTTCAAATTATTATTATGTCGAAAAATTTAATTCACATCTGAAATCGGAAACTGATTACTTTTAATTCTAGAAATGTAAAGTACAATTAAGAATAACGTACACATTCCGTTTAATTGTCTTCTTATGCATTTCATGCTTCCCAAATTATGGCACAAATCATTAAAAATCGTTATAGAGATTATGACAGGAAGTCCTTGACAAAAGTATAATCACGAATCTTGTATAAGAATCACTGTTGTTATTGATTATTTTACTAATAGCCAGGCAGGTAATTTAAAACATTTTAACGTCACCAAAGAATTCTCGATTTGTTAATTAAAAGATATATCCCTTTAAAATATTATAAATCTTGTAATTATATCATAATGCGATCAATCTCTTATTGAAACTCATAATCATTATTTCAAAAGAGCTGAATTTACGCGCAATAATACACATACGATGCAAATACATTTATCATGATTGGTCGAAAATATATAACAGTTAACGCTGATTGGTTTATATTCAAAATAAAAATAAACTATAATTTAATGATATTATTTAATGTAATGTTTCTGCTAAATCTTATCTTTATATAATGAATTATTTATTTTTCACATATCTATTTGTTAATTACATAATAAAAAGTCTTGTAACAATAATTATTATAATTATTTAATTGTTATTGATCATCAAATTTTAACCAATGACAAGCTATTTTTACAGATAGTTTAAATTTCAAAGCGTATCCAATCAAATAATAGAATTTAAAAATATAATAAGAATAAATGCGTATAAGAAGAAACACAAAATAAAAATTTTTTTAAATTCAAATAAATGAATAAAATAATATTAAATTATAGTTATGAATATAAGTAAAATACAAATAGTCATAGTTTTATTCATTATTGGTATCATTTTTTGTATACATAATCGCATTAAAAGTATGCATTCTATAAAGATATAAATGAAAAATTATTATACTAAATATATTTATTTTATGTAAATTTTTTATCATTTTGTTTTTAAAAATATGTTTAACATGATTCTATAGGAAAATATTATAATATGGCAAAATCTATTGTTACACCTTTTGAAAAATCTAAACAGAAATATTTTTCTAATCAGTGTACATCAACACAAACTATTGTTGATACTATAAATCATAGAGAAATATTGTTAAAATTATATGAAGCAGCTGATGTAAGATATATTTATACTTATTTGGAACATTTTATTATCTTCTCATATTAATAATATCTTTATATTGATGTTATTATTAGAAATGTTATATGAAAGTGTATGCACTTAGATGCATTCGTTTAATTAATTATTGTCCCCATTTAATTAATATTCCACATGGACCTGATGGTTATACACCATTTCACAAAGTCTGCTTTCATGGTAATACATGTTTGATCGAATATATGATTGCAAAAGGTAAACTTTATAGTATTAGATATATATTATGATATTATACTTAACATTAAAAATTTATTTGTTTTATATTATATACAGGTGCTAATCCTTTTCTTAAAACTTATAGTGGTGAAAATGCAATTTGTATGGCATTATATTTTTTTCTTAACCATCCTAACAATAATGATTTTACTTGTTTAGATATTCTTTGCGAAACAGGTTTGTAGAAAATGAAAAATAATTCATATTTATATTTTATGTATGACTACAGAGAGTTCTTTATTATAAATTATATCTGATTGTATCACAGGTTGTCATTTAGATATGTCAAATAAACACTATGATACCGTTATGAAATCAGCTTTAAATAATCATAATAAGCTTTTAGCAGAATGGTTATTATTGCATAATAAAATTACAAAACTTTCGAGAAGTTATTCAGAACCATGAAATTTCATATACTGTATGCTTTACAGTAATAATTAATTAAATATATAATTTGATCTACATAATAAATTATTAATTTGATATTGTTATTTGATATACTGCTTCTTTTAATTAGTTTAGATGCATTGAATACAATAATTTCAAAATTTATTGTTTAATAAATTAATTAAGATTATATTAAGTAACTTGTATAGGTATTTTGCATAATCTACGTTTAACAATAAAGGAACAAAGTTCAAAGTTATTGAAGTTATACCTACAGCAAAAATAACCTCTTCGTTACGATTGTCAACTTCAGGTGATCATCACCGGATACATAAATACGTTAATTGATATTCTTTATGTTTATTTATTTATTCGTTACGCAAAGATATCTCATTCTACGTTACTATTAGTTATTAAATGGTAGTATGCATAGAATAATCGTCATATTCAACTCTAAACAAGTGTTATTTGAAATAGAATCTTCTTATATAGTTCTACTAAAAAATTAAATTTGTGTTTAAATATGTTAAGTACTGGTTTGTTAATTTTGACAAATCCTAGTAGGATTACGACGTTATTACCAGTTATCAATAAACATGTTTTAAAAACATTATATATTCAATATTTGCCAGAAAAAAATTTAATTACGCCAGGAAATCATTCCATTAAATTACCGAAATTACCTCGTTATGCCCAAATCGTTGCTAATATTTATAAAGTAGCTTCCAATAATTGTTCTAGACTAGATATACGAATTTTATTAACACATATAAAAAATCCTGGTTTTACCATTATAAATACTAAAAATCCGGTGGAAATAATAATTTTTGATCAAATTTATAATACAAAAGTAGTTGATACTTTTATACAAGATTGTCTTGCCAATATATCAGAAGGATGTAGTTACATTACACTTGATAATGAACAAAATGATAAGAAATGTAACGATACCGATGAATGTAGTACAAAAGACTTACAAACATACAAAAGTGTTGTTTTGGGTGGCACATTTGATCGTCTACACAATGGACATAAAATTATTTTAAGCGAAGCTGTTTTGTATTCTAGAGAAAAACTTACAGTTGGTGTGACAAATACAAACATGTTAACTGGTTAGAAATTATTATTAAAATAATGTTTTCAATTGTTGTATTTAGTCACAACTGACAATCAATCAATAATATTTTTAGGAAAATTGCTATGGGAATTAATAGAACCATGCTCTAAAAGAATAACAGATGTTAAAGACTTTTTAGAAGATGTGGATTCATCATTAACATATGATATTGTTCCTATTAATGATATGTATGGTCCTACTAAAGATGATCCTACATTTGAAATGATAGTAGTCAGTGAAGAAACGAGACGAGGCGGGGATAAAGTCAATTCTTTGCGATTACAGAAAAATTTGAATGAATTGGTTATTCATGAAGTAAAATTATTAGCTGATGAAAATCACAGAGCATATGAAGAAAATAAAATTAGTTCTAGTAATCAAAGGATACGATTACTTGGCAAAAGATTAGGGAAATCCGTATGTATTTTATTGATACTAGACCTCTTCAATTATTTTTATTTATATTATTTATATATATTATATATTTTATTTTTATATATATTATTAATAATTTTGCAGATAAACAAAGATAAACCACTTAAACCTTATATTATTGGGTTAATTGGTGGTATAGCAAGTGGTAAATCATCAGTGATCGAGAAAGTACAAAAATTTGGCGCTGGATTTGTGAATTGTGATAAAATTGCACATGATTTATATCTTCCTGGAAAACAATGTTTTCAAACTATAGTTACACATTTTGGTACAGGCATACTTAATGCAGATGGTTTTATCAATAGAAAAGCTCTTAGTAATATTGTATTTAATGATAAGGTATATTTATATATATAATTTGTATAATATGACAAGATTATTCCAGTTGTTTTTTCAATAATTTGATAATTTTGTATTAAAAATGTAGGAACAATTAAATAAATTAAATAATTTAATGTGGCCTTTAATTCTTGAAGAGGCTAAAAGGAAGATAAATGAACTATATATAGGAGGATATAATGTTATTTTTATGGAGGCAGCAGTCTTGATACAAGCTAATTGGCAGAATGAATGTCATGAAATATGGGCTTGCATAATTCCGCCAGAAGAGGTTTGTTCAATATTAGTTAATATTATATGTACTTCATGTTATTAACAATATACATATATCTTATTAAGAAATGATACATATATTAAATGTGTAGGCTATTAAAAGAATCATGAAAAGAAATATTTTATCAGAGGATGAAGCAAAACAAAGAATAGAAATGCAACCAAGTAACTTAGATCAAATTAAAGAAGCTAATGTTGTCATATGCACATTGTGGGATCATGATTTCACAGAAAAGCAAGTACAAAATGCATGGGAGGAATTAAAGACTTATTTATCACAACATTCAGCTGATTAATATAATGATATTCTTAGAAACATAATGATGTGATTAAAGAAAAAAATGGGAAATGTATATGGTTTATTTTAGTTTATAAATTTAATCCTTTTTTATATAGATTATACACTGGAATTAAAATATAATATTGTTATAGACTTTTGTACAATATGTGTACATATATTATATCTTACTAAATTAATAGGAAATTATTTAGCAAATAAAATATTATCGGTTAATATAGTGTTTTCTTCTTGATCCAAATAGTCTTGCATTTTAGTCATAAGAGAGCTTAAAAATGAACGAAAGTCAGCTTGTAATTTATTACCACTTTCTTCTATATCGCATCTGACATGTGATACTTTGGGAAATGTGGAAGCTGCATAAGTAAAAAAATTATTACTTTTTTTTAATTACAATTTGTCACTTATTTTTTTTTATTTTTACACTTACAAATCGATTTCGGTAATTCAGATAGAGTTCTGTCAGGATCGTAACAAAATATTACGCACATGTCAGGACCTAATTTAGTCTGTGTAACAAAATAATCATAGAACTCTTGTATTTCTTTTAAACAATTTTGTTTTTTTGCACTATATATTAACATCACACCATGTAAATCTTTTCTTATAGCAGGCCAACAAGTTTTAAATCTATAAAATATATAAATTATAAGAATTCACATTTAAAACATACAATGTATTTAACTTGCATACTTGAAATCGCCACTACAATCCCATATTTCAATATCTTTTGAAATAGTTCTATTATTTACTATAATGCCTTGTGCTTCTGCTTCTAGTATTCTTACACCATATGTTGGATGGTAATTGTAAGGGATTTCTGAAGCATCAGCAAGAAAGTTTGATACTGTAGTTTTACCACTCTGAAAGATATTACTTTCTTAAAGTATGGTCTATATTCAGATGTTTACTCGTTTCTTATTCAAAATTATATAGAAAATAAATAATATGACACATAAGTTTTATTACTTATGTTATCAAATAAAAAAGATTTAATTTAAGCACTAGTATTTATTAACATTAATTCTTAATATCTCACCTCCAATGGTCCAATTACTACTAATTTTAAAGCTTGCATAGTTATTGATATCTTTTGCAATACAGTATATTTCGTAATCTTTCCATATTTGTGTATCATACTCTTGAAGGCAATTTTTGTGTACGATACTGTTTCTATGGTAACCATTCATAATATTGAAGTTAGAATGCGTATTTAATTATATAACATAATAAATAAGCGTATTTATATAAAATCATAATTATTCCAATTGGAAATAATTCTATATATAATACACACACACACACACACACACCCATACTTATGTGTGTATATATATATACACACATATATATATAATAAACGGATATATTACATATTTATTACAGGTTAATATTTCAATAATATTTAGTACTAGGTATTAATTTATTTATCAACAACGTATAGTTTTATAAGATATTTATGTAATAAGATAGTTAATACAAATAAATTGTGTTATGAACGTTATACATAGAACTAATGTAATTATTAATAAACTAGTTTGCAAATCTTATCAATATATATATAAAAAAAACATGTGCTGTTCTCAATATTTGATTGGTCAATAAAATACTAAGTAAAATACTAAGAAAATTAAAAAAATTTTATGATATATATCTTTTACTTTAAAAGATATTTCTCGAATGTCAGATAACATATGAATGCAAATACAATATACCTATTTAAGATAGCTTAACTTCTTTTACAATAAGTACAATTCATGTCATATTATACATAATCAGATGAGATGTTACATTATCTTTTAAAATATGTGTTTTTTTTTTTTCATATAGCTTACAGATTATTACAAAATATTTCTGAATCTATACATTAATAAATATAAATGATATAACTTTACACATGATTATCTTCAAGTCACTTCTGTATAATAATCTAATAATTATAATTTGTAGCATATTGTAAACACTTATTATTTGGATAAAGAAAATAACAGAAGAGAAATTGTGATTAAAGAAATGTATTTTGATTAATGTGTAAAGATTACTTTACATACTTTGTACATCCTCTGATTGATCAACTTTATTTTCCTCAGGATAGTTTAATCCATATAAAGCTAACAATGCTGCTTTTGCTGCTATTTTTTTAGCATCCTTTTTATTTCTTGCTGCAATTAAAGAGATATAATTATTTACATGTTTATAAATAAATTCTCCATTAACACAAGAATTGGATTATTATCTTGTATTTATTAAGTTTATTATTTTTATAATAATATTATTTTTTATACCTGAACCAGTATAACCAACACCATCAATTTCCACAGCTAGTGTAAACATTATATTAGGTGGATTTCCAAGACGACTTATTTCTACATATGTTAATCCTGGTTTCATTTGATTTAATAACATAACAGGATGTATATTGGTCGCATTTGGTGGAAGTTCCTTCTGAACTGGAAATTTATTTGTACTAGAAAGTATTTTCTTTGCTCCTTTTAGTGGTGTAGGTAATCCTGGTCTGGGTACTGGTACTGATGTTCCTTGATTGTGCCATTCCAAGAAAAGTTTATAAAGTGCAAAACTTGCTAATGAACTCCATGGAACTTCTTCGCTTTCGTCAATATTAGTATCTGTTGACATTTGTCCATCTTCTGCATTGTCTTCTTTCGTTGATGACATGGAAGAATCTGCAGGTTGATTTGCTTGTCCATCTGATTCGGCATCCATACGTGCTTTCATACTAGCTGCAGTCATTTTTTCAAGTAATAATGCTTTTAATGCATTTTCAGCAGCATTTTGACGTGCAAGTGGTTTAGATAATCCTTGACCAACATATGTTTTCCCATCAAGCTGCCAATTATATGCATAATATTTAGTCAAAATAAATATACAGAATGAGTATTCATGAGTAGAAAAACTTTTTTTTACCTCTGCATGAACAAGATAAAGAGAATTTGGCATAGGTCCTTGTGTTTCAGGAAATGTAAACTGCACTCCAGCTTTCATTTCATTTAAAACCATAATTGCGTTTTTTGGTTGAAGAGTCTTTCTTAAACGTTGATTCAAACGAAGACGTTTCAGTTTTTTATTTACCTTAACTGCATACATAATTTTATTATTTAACATAGAAAAGTTTAAGATATAATATCTGTTTGTATTATCTAGTTTTTAATTTTTTCAGTACACTAATTCACATTGATTGTTTGAATGCCTTAGCTCAAGGAGCAAAGCACCGAACAAAAGCTAAACATCTTCAAATTTGCGCAGCGTTTTGTCATCATATCAATAATAAAATAATAATATAAGAAAGTATATAAAATTTTATAGAAACTATTACAAATGTATATACATTATACTTACATCCAGGTATTTTACGTCTCCATCTTGGTATTTCTGGTGCATCAGTATCTGCATTTTCAGTTTTGACATCAACTTTTCCATCAATGGTATTATTGCAACAGGCAGTTGTATCTGATGTAGTGAGTACAGATATATTTTGTGATGTAGAAGCAGGTTGTTGAGGGGTGACAGATGTGTTCTGCATAGGAACAGTAGATACTGTAATCGAGCTTTGTTTAAGTATTGGTTTTAGGCGTTGTTGTTGTTGAGTATTAGGTGGTGGCAGTTGTGGGGGTGGTTGCTGTTGCTGTATATGTTGTTGCTGTATATGTTGCTGCTGTTGCTGTATATGTTGCTGCTGTTGTATATGTTGCTGCTGTTGCATATGTTGCTGCTGCTGTTGTTGCTGTATATGCTGTTGTTGTATATGCTGCTGCTGTTGTTGCTGTTGCTGCTGCTGTTGCATATGTTGTTGTTGCTGCAGATGTTGTTGCTGTTGCTGCTGCGTTAATTGAGGTTTCAATTGTTGCAAGGGTCTTGTTATACTAGGTTGTTGTATCTGTACTGGTGGTTGAGATTTAAACGGTTGTGAAGTTTGCACATTCCCTTGTTTGTAAATAGCTTGCTGAGTTACGATTGGTTGTGGTGGCTGATAACTCCCTTGCTGACTAAACTGTAAAATATAGGGTGGGTCGCCGCTACACAAGGAACCTCTACGGTTGTGCTATCCCACCAAGGTCTAGCATCGCATATGTACTTAAAAGCAATCTAATGCTACCCCCATAGCTCTTACCTACCAAGTTATCTTTAACTATGGCCAATGTTTCCTTACTCATGACTCAGCTAAGTTAAAATATGTTAATTATTAGATAATTTAAAAAGCAATTTTATAAATAATAATGAGTAATTATAAACTATAATATATATGTTAATTTATAATCAATCTATTAGAATATATTCTATGTTTTATGTATAAGTAATAAAAAAAAGGAAAAAAAAAATTACAAAAAGAAAGGAATATACATTTATAGTACAAAGAATACAGTTTAAATAAAGTATATAGAAAATAAATTAGAGTTGAATATCAATAATATAATAATATTAAAATAATTCAACTTGCTTAGACATGAGTTCAGTATAAATCAACAAAATGGCCAATGGCAGGCTATGCTATGTGGGTAACAGACGATCTAGCCCCTGGCCGACCGCACTTCCTCGGTATTGTTGTATAGCTACTAGTACCTGCATTGCAGGGGAGGGGAAAGTAGGGACCACTAATTAGTACATGCAAATGGAAACAACTTTGGAAACAACATATGGAACATTTTAATGCATCTATATATGTGAAAACTCAAACATCTTTTATATCTTGTGTTATATTTGGGATCTTCTATTTAATTTTGAAGTAATACAAGATTTGGAATTAATATAAATTTTATATCCATAAAAAATATGACATAAAAATACATATTAATAAATAAATGGAAACTTACAGAATTTTGGCTCTGGAAAGGAGCCTGGTTACTAGGATTTTGTGTTCGTGCTGCAACATATATAAATATATTCTTATTGTGTTTTCTAAGAAATATTATATTGTAGGGTTAATCAAATTATGTCATATAAATAAAAATATAACGTATAAACGCCGAATTGTTGTATAACCTAAGCAAATATATTGCTTTTCAATGAAAATATTTAATAAATAAACTTACGATCTTTGTGTAAACATATATGTTATATTTATACCAGGTGATCATAACTATTGTATATAGAAAAAGGAAAAATAATATAAAAATGATATATATTTCAAATACGAGCATAATCGATAGTATTGATCTTTTGATGTAATATATTTTAATACAAATCAAAATTTATTTATGTTTATACATAATTAATATAAAAGAATTTATTTTGAATCAACATGTTTATATACCTTGAATATAAAAATAAATTTTGTACTGTTCTTACCACTGGGATAGCCCTGACTTTGTCTGTTTCTCGCAAACATTTTTACGTTTTTAATAAAAGAGTAGAACTTTCTTAAATAATGTTAATTTGTAAATTTTAAACACGTTAATAACTATAGTATCATTTATTACCACTTAAATATACATAAAATAGTTCAATTGCTTCGTTAAATGCTACAGTGTTATCGAGCACGCCTGCCACTTAATCATGAAGAAGGAAATGACGCTATGATTTCATCCCCACTACTCTTAAGAACAGGAAATATGAATCTCAAACATTGCGCATGAGCAAAATACGAAACTATATAAATGTTTCGATCAGTCGTTTTTGTTAAAAAAAAAGGTTGCATTAATATTTTTATTCTATAATCTATGTGATATACGGTAATTTTTTTGTGACTGTACAATATTCGGGCAAAATAATAAATCAATTGAAAAATAATTTAAACGTCTGCATTTTGAAAATATCACATGTAGTATTCTTAAAGCGAAACTTGTACATTTATACAACAAAAATGCCATATATACGGTGCAAAAGGTAATTTGTAATTACAGAATTTATGTAAGGGCTATTTAATGATCTTATATAATACAAAAATTCACTATCTTTCATCTTAATTATAATGCTAATAATTATTTTATTTACTCAGAGTAAACCTTCCATTTCTTGCATAAATTGCATATATGCATCATCCTTTGTTTTAGGTTGTGTTGTCCGAAGTGGTTGAGTTTCTGGTAATCTTTCTGAAAGTCTGGATATGTTGCTTGGTTTTCTCTTATCATCTCGTTTTACTCGTAGAGATGTTGGTAAAAACCTAGTAACATCCGCAGCTAAATTCCGAATTTGAGGCTTGGCTTCAATAGTCGTTGTATTTTTCCCATCTTTATCTTTTCTGTTAATTAATTGAGGAGCAGCAGATAATACATTAGGAGTTTTAGGTTGCGATCCTGTTCCTGCTTGTGTTTGCATCTGAGCATTTGCTATATTTGAGATATTAGATAAACTAGGCATTTGCATCTGTGGTGGTGGCATTCTAGGCATACTTGGTGGACCCGGTCGTAACATTCTAGGCAATCCAGGTGGGGGACCTGTAAAAATATTTTTTACAGTAAATTCATCGAATAATAAAGTTATGATCTCCCCATGATTAAATTTTACATATTATAATATAATGATTTATGTATTACCAGGTGGAAGACGAAGTCCGATACGAGGTGGTGGTGGTGGAGGCATTCGAAGGTGTAATGGTGGAGGTGGTGGCCTATATAGTAGTGGAGGTGGTGGAAGATTCATATGGGGCAAATTATGTTGTTGTGTATGTTGTGTATGAGAATGAGATGATGCATGTTGATTATGCCCTGAGGAATGCTCAGATGCTCCTGGAGGCTCAAGTTCTTCATCTTCTGTTTTGTTGTTAGATTTATTATTGGATTTATTATTAGATTCATTCTCTGCCTCAAGTAATGATAAGCGTGCATTTAAATCTTGAGCACGTTCAGTTTCTCGTTTTTTATGAACTACTTCCATTTCACGCATAAATTGATCAATATCTTGACCTGCCATGGCCAACATTTTTTGTTGCAAAGTAGTTGGTTTCACCTTTGCCATTTCTCTATCTTTTTCTTTATCTTTCTCTGAATCTTTTTCTTTATCAGAATCTTGCTTATTATCATCTTTATCATCCGCAAAACGTATTGTTCTTGATTTTGCTGGTGCATCTTTATTCTATATGTTGTATATATAAAATAGTTATAAAATTAATTGTCTATATTCAAGAAATCAAATGAAGAATCATTAACTTATTGTAATAATAAATATACAGTATTACCTTTTCTGTAACATCTTCATCATCACTTGAAAGATCAGGCGGTGGAAAAGGTGGAACACCTGGTGGTTCTTTATTTGGTGCCATTGTAGGTATTGATGGAGCTGTCGCATATGCACTGGTTTTCTTTAAAATACTTGGTGGTATTGGTATGTTCATGAGTGGATGATGCTGTGGTATATAATGTGGATGTGGCGGATACATATGTGCAGGAGGTTGTGGCATGTCCGGTAGTGGAATTTGTGATGTTAATGAGCCTGAAATAATATTTCTCTTTGTAATATTAAGAAAATCTCAATAATATGAAATAAAACATAAAAGAAAATTGTTTCAAAACCTGGATAAATCCGAGAAATATCATTGGCTGCAGATGGCAATGGTATTTCATCAACTTGTACCTGTTGTGCATGTCTTACAGCTTCAAAATATGAGACTAAATCTATTCTTCTTCGTTCGTATTGTATTAATTGTTCTTTTAATTCTGCCCACTTTTCTTGATCATCTTTTGCCTAAGGAAAGTAAATCAACCATAGAAATATAAATTATAAATTATTTTATAAAGGCATTAAAAATCTTCTATTGTCATCTTACCAATTTAAAATATAAAATGTATAATTTTATACTTACATACATTTTTAAAACACGGTCTAAGGTTTCCTTAAGTTTCTTTCGTTTATCTTTTAATACTTTTTCATTTAAGGGTGGTGGCTGCATAACATTGTATTCTAAAATGAAATAAACACCAACAAATTAGTAAAACAAATTAGTAAAACAAATTAGTAATTCAAATTAGTAAAACTTTAGAAAACTAATACTATTGTGTAATACTAACCCATTTGATCTATTTTTTCCATTTCTTCAATTATTTGAGTAGGATCTTTGCCTTTTAAAACAGCAGCTCGCACCAATTGTCTTTGTTTTTTATTTTTCTTTAATTCTTTCTTACGAGCTTCCTTACCTAAAATATATAATACACAAAATCGTCAATCTTCTATTATTTATAATAAGAATTTATTATTTATATATTTGGTTATGAACAATACTGACGTGCTTGATCTGTAGGATTCATATATTTCCCACTTTTCGTGGTATTAATTGAACGTCGACCCATTTTAATTATTTTTAACACAAGTAAAACAATGAAATTTATCTGACTTTTTAATTTTAAGTCACCTTAATTGTAAATCAACATAATTATTTACGTTTTGTTCAATCAACATGTCGTCGTTATACCATCATTTTTCAACGTACTACTGTTCAACAATGAAAGGTGTATTTACAAATAACTTTTTGAAACATAAAGTTACGTTTTTATTAAGAGATTATATGCTGAGTTACGATTGGAGCATTTACTGGTACCCGCAGAATGTTTAATTTGATTCAGGATTTGTATTTTCAACTTGATATAATCGTGCACAGATATTCTCATATTTATATATCTACTTAGTATAAATATAATATAGGTAATTTTCTATTAAAATTTATGTTAAAAACATAAAATTTAATAATTTAATCAAGTAATGTAATTTTATATATTAATGAAAGTTTGTAACTTGCGAAGACAAGTTTGAATATCTTATTTGTTAACGAATGAACTATTTATGAATTTTTATATAAACTGATATATTTACAATTTGTTTATATAATATATTATCGGTTAATAATAACTATCAAATGTCAATGTAATATTTATTAAGTAGCAATACGAAATTGATAGCTAACCTCACATCACAAGTTAATATTTTATATATTATTTACTTGTACTTATTTGTTTGTATATTCTTTATGTTATTAAAGAAACATGTTGAACACTATTGCTCATGATGTAAAAAAGAAGCCACGCACTAAGGATGTTAAAATACTAGAAGATGTAACTTTCTCTCAAATGGGACTTTCTCAAAATATTTTGAATGGCTTAGCTAATTGTGGTTTTCAAAGTCCATCTCCCATACAACTCAAAGCAATACCATTAGGACGCTGTGGTTTTGGTATGTTGGTGTAATATTAATATAGCATTTATCTTATATAAAATTATATTTTTAATATTATTATTTTAGATTTAATAATAAAAGCAAAATCTGGAACTGGAAAGACATTAGTATTTGGTACTGTGGCTCTTGAAATGATAGATGTTCAAGTATCTTCTATACAAGTTTTAATATTAGCACCTACACGAGAAATAGCTATCCAAATTTCTGAAGTTTTGTCATCTGTCGGTTCAGAATTGAAAGGTCAGTATTTTTTTTTATTTATTTTATTTTGATTAGATGAATGTACTCTATGTAGAATTTAAACTTTTTCAGGATTGAAAGTTGAATCTTTTATTGGAGGAATGATTTTAAATGATGATAAAAAAAAAGTTAAGGTATGTCACATAGCAGTTGGAACTCCAGGTAGAGTAAAATATTTAATAGAGAAAGGGTTCCTTAAAACTGACAATATCAGATTATTTGTACTTGACGAAGCAGATAAATTAATGGAAAATAGTTTCCAAGGAGACATCAAGTAGGTATAATGTTACCACTTTTTTATTGTATATGTTGAACAGTTTTAATTCTTATAAATTTTGTAATTTCAGTTACATATTTTCTACATTACCAATTAGTAAACAAGTTATAGCATCAAGTGCAACTTATTTAGGAGATTTGGAATCTTTTCTTCAAATGTATATGTGTTCACCAGTATTAACATCTCCAGATGACAATGGACCAGTTCTTGTTGGTTTAAAACAATTTGCTTCTGTAGTTCCTTCACATCCATATACAATGAAACAGGTAGCTATAAATTCGTATTTTTAATTATTAATATTTGTCTATATTACTATTATATAATTCATTATTAATTTTTAATTCTTTTTATAAAAGATTTTTACAATTTTTTTTTGTTTATATAGGTCAAATTAAAAGTAAAAGAGCTTATCAAGATTTTTAATAAAATTCCATTTAAACAATGTTTAGTATTTTCAAATTACCAATCACGGTATGTTTTACATTTTTTGATTATAACAGATCTAATCTAAGGACTAATATTGATATATTTCTTTTTTAATTTTCCAGAGCACAATCTGTGTGTAATAAAATTAATTCGATGGGTTTTTCTGCTGCTTACATAACAGGAAATCAAGATATGGTTAAGCGACAACAGGCTATTAAAAAATTAAAAACATTTAAATGTAGAATAATGATAACAACCGATTTAACTGCTAGAGGTATTGATGTTGAAAATGTAAATTTAGTTGTCAATTTTGATATACCTGGAGATGCAGCTACATATTTACATAGAATTGGAAGAGGTGGTCGTTATGGATCTTATGGAATTTCTATCACTATTATCTCAGACAATGAATTACAGTCGTTCAAGAATATATTAAGAACTGTTGGGGGAAATAATTTTTCCATTGCTAAACTTCCTGTAGAGTATCCACTTAATATTTGGAGTTCTGATTATACAGCATTTGATAAGATATTTGGAAAATGTGATTGTGATATAGATGAAGAAGAAATTGACAATAGAAGACTTGATTCAGATGATGGCTTGCCTACTCTTATATCTCATGAGAAATCTCAGTGTAACGAAGTATTTTTACAAAATAATAAAAATAATGAAAATAATATTCAGTTATCCTTCAATGAAAATATGTTAAATCAAATAAGTAATAATCCGGTATATGAAAATAGTAATTCTTTTGAATATATAACTACATCAAATTCAGAAGACACTACGTCGACTAATTCGTTACTTGCACAACATACAGCAGAAGAGAACGAACTTGAATGTCCTTTAAGAAATAAAGTGGAAAAGGAAATACCAAATGTTGATACTTCATGTATTGAACCAACATCAAAGAATTTATATGAATTTAAATTAATAAATAATTCCAATAATCCATCCGAGTTTCAGAAACTTAATGAAGATGTTGTGTTTAAAGTTGATTTATCTAATGTTGAGCAGGATGAATTATTAAATATTCATAATAATGAAATGATGGAATATTTGAAATTTACAATCAATAGGAAATATGCTACAAATATGACTACTCAGACAAATAATACAATTAATTCTGAAATTATGAATGATAATAATTCAATATTTGAAAATAACGAAGAACAAAGCAACTTCACAGAAGAGAATAATGCTATGTGTGTTGAATTATCGTTACCAGAAGATACAGAAGATACTGATGCTCTTTATATTAAAGAATTATTGAACTATTTGCAAATAAATGCAGAAAGTTTCAAAAAACAGAATAAATTTGATATAGGATATGATGATGATTCTATACTAAGTATAGCATCAGCATGGAATAAACAGCTTAACTTTGAAATTTATTTATTAGACAATACAATGAAAAATATATCAAATTCTATTTGTAGTCCTATAACAGATGACTTTAATTTATTAATTTTAAAAGCTTTCTTGCAAGTACAGAAGAAAGCTTTTCTCTATATTTATCCTGAACTTCGTACTGAAAAAGAAATTGATGATACCTATTTATATTCATCACACATGAATCAAAATCTGATAGATATGTACATGGAAATAGAAGATTTTAAAAGTTATTATAGACAATATGGAAAAAAATTTGAATACTTTCCGTATTCGATGAAGGGAGATGTTTTTATGCCAAATTTAATGATATCTGATAAAGAAAAGGAATATTATCGTACAGTATTACACTTTTTACAAAACGAACCAGATATTTCATTAAGATTCGCAGAATGGATTAAACATTTTACGGTCTTAGATAAATTTGAATATGATAGTTTAAGTACTAAAATACTAAATAAAGATAAAATATCTTTCGGCGAATTATTTGTTTTAATACAACAAGAGAGTATCAAAAAGACAAACAGTGAAGTTAAATTAATACAGAAAGATTCTTCGTATCCTGCAATACATGAAAATAAGTGTATTCAATCAATAAATCATAATTATACAAATGACTTTATATTAAACAAAATTCACGAAGATCCAGAAAGCATAAAGAAACTTGGTGAGGAAATGAATACAATGGATCAGGGAAATAAATTAAATAAAAATTCTAGTGTAATAGAAGATTCAGTTACATGTGATCAAACATGTAATATAAATATAGAAACAATAGGTGAGAGTAATGAAACTGACCTGTCAGATAAATCATCTTTGGATATTGACAATGCCAAAAACGACTTATTTCCAATTGTAAGTGAAAAAACAAAATACAATTATACATGGAAGGAACATTCAACCAAAACATCTATGAATTCATGTAAATCTGTAGCACAAAAAAGCTTAAATGCTATTCAAACTGCTTATGTTCCATTAGTACAACCATGCAATGAACAAGTAGATCCAGAAACTATTAGTCTTTGTAAACAAATGGATAGTTTTGATGATCATTCAGTACCTAAAAAATGTTTAAATACAAAACAATATTCTAATATAGGTGTGCAAACTGCAGTATCTTTTTGTCATAGGAAAAAATGCAATGCCAATACAAAATCAGATGGAGTTTCTTTTTATTGCGATGTTAATGAGTGGAACAGTTATAATCATAATCATAGTATAGATCCTTGGATTCAATCGTATTGTTTTTATAATAATTATACAGATAATAACTTTTTTTATAATCTAAGTTATGACACGTGTCCGAAACAAATTTCTCTAAATAATGATTATTACAAATCAAAAATTAACCAAAATACATCAAATAATTCTGTAAATTCTAATCATAAAGAAGAAATAGACATTGAAGAATTATTTACATCCATTAGAATGCAAACTAATAATTTACATTGGCACATTTATCAGTCTCAGATGTTAGAATAGTGTACTAAAAATGAATAGTCATAATCAAATGATGCGCTTATGGATATATATATAAATAATATGTTAATATTATAAATTAAATGTTACATTATTTTTGGTCATGATTTCTAACGATTGATTTATAATCGATTGGTAATGTATAATGATATGCGAAACGATCGATAGTAAAAGGTCATATGTTATTGGTATGCATTTATAAGATACATGCTCTGTGTGCCATGTGTAACCTTTTACCATCGATACCGTACTACTTGATCTTACGTAATTCAATTGATCTTTCTCGATTGAATTTTGTGGGATTACAAATCGCATATGTCCTATTGAGTAAAAAGATTGATGTAAAAGACGCGTATTATATAGTTTTAGGGTTAGGAAGGATATTACATGTATAGTTATGTAAATGAAAAATACAAGAACTTCATAATATCTTCTATAATAAAAGTTATTTTCTTTATAATGATTTTACAATATAATAACATTAAATATCTGAACGTTTTAATACGTATATATTAATACGCGTATTTCAAATAATGGATTCGACAAGATTGTCACGCATATTTGTACAATTTATATATGCCGGCTGTGAGTTAAAGCAGATCAGGTTTCTGAGGCATCTTTTCGACGTGGGGAGAATCTAAAGGGAGGTAGGAGGAAGAGCGAGATGGGGGAAGAGGAATGGAAAAAAAAGGCACCACCTTACGAAACTCGTCTCGTGAGAGAATTCAGGGTAGGAACCCGTTGCGTGCCTCTTTTATTCGCGAAATAATCGTTTGAGGCTCCCGCCTAGCACAACTTCAGTCGTTGACCACGTGCTTTCGCGTGAGGGAGTCTATGTAATCGTATTCGTGAGTGTATTGTGTCGTATTAATCGGAAAACGTCGTATCGAGTTCTTTCTCACGCGCGATTAATTTTGGTGTTAGCTGAAAATTAGTGATTTCCATGGCTTCCTTCAATATGCCTTTCAAACGTAAATGCTTCAGAAAAACACCGATCCACATTGTTGAAAATCACGATGAGGTACGTACGACCTCTAACGATAAGAGTGTCGTCTGTATTCGTCCTACCTGATCCGTCTCTTCTGTTTTGTTTACGTTGTGATTCGCAACTCCGAACGACTTTATTTTTCTTTTCTCCCGCCGGTGGCGCTACGAGCTACCTCGGGATTCATACACTCGCGCATGCTCATTTACAAAACAATCGAAATTCGATATAATTTCGATTATCGATCAATTTCAGTTAACGGTTTTCACTTCCATAAATGTTCGTTTTTTTTTTTATCACTCTTAAATTCCATACAAATAATACGTATGATTATATTTATACAAGCATATATGATATATTTTCGTTCATTTTAATCGTGTATATCCTAAATCCATAATATAAATGTATTAAAATAATCTATATTAAATAATACGTATATATGTACGTATATATTACGGTTAAGAATATTTTTTATCTGAAATTCTTAAATAATTAGAAAGAATTCTTAAATAATTAAATAACTTCTGAATTTTCTTTTGTTAGGTTTTACCATTCATTTATCGATGTTTGGGTTCAAAACATCTTCCATTTGAAGGAAATACGTTTATTCATCTTGATTCTCATCCAGATATGCTTATACCAAGGTGTATGTCAGCTGATGTTGTATGGAATAAGGATGAATTATTTGGGTATGCATATTAATTTTAATGATAATTATATTATAGTTATCATTAATTAATATTAATGATAATTTATTATATAAAATAATTATTAGCATTATAATTATGATAATATTATAAAGTTATATAATATTTGAAATATTATAGCATAACTTTTAGATAATCCAGTGATGATATTTTCAATTAAAACTTAATAATATGTACGACGATATTTTCGACAATTTTTCGCGTTAGACACATTACATGTTAATAAATTGTATTTTTCTTTAATATACAGTAGTTATATATCTATATATAATACAAATATTATATGATGAATTCAAAGATGCAAATAATCTGAAGTGCATTCCAAAACTGGCATTTAACGGTTGTCAGTGTAATATCAACAAAAATTAGCACGTTTCGTATGTTTTTGCATCGTGCATAGAAAAGGAATTTCACATTGTTTCTTCGTGTTAATAAAACATCGATGAAAATGTTCGAATTATTAGAATAATTTTACAAACAGTAATGAAATATTGAAATTAATGACTTATTTTATTATGATTATTAAAATATAGAGAATATATGTATAGATGTTATATAAATCGATGAATAAAATGAAAATGTACTTTTGTTTCATTATCACAGGGATATTAGTATCGAAAATTGGATTATGCCAGCAGTATATGCCGGTCATTTCAAAAGTTTGATCTGGATAAAACCACCGTGGGCAAAGCAGATACCCGATGGAATAATGACTTTTTTCATCGGCAAGCATAAGCAGAGCGGTACTATAAGGTAAGTTTCTTTTTATATACACACAGACATACACAAATTTTTGTTCATATGTTATTGCGAATATATATTCATTATTCTATTTATCTGATGCGACATTACTATCTTTCATTTTGTTCAAATTTACATACATATTACATTTCCATTCGATAAGCAGTTGCTAATAAAATCGCTTTAATTTCATTTAAATACAAATATATGGCTATATGTTAATGTAGATCTATTTATATGTGTACAATGAATTTTAATTTCAATATTATAACAGAAATAATTTACGTGTAATTATATCGTAAGGTAAACGACTTTCTCATTAGTTTTTGTGAAGAGGGTGTTACGCCCATATAATGAGGCTATAATTTGCAGCTCTTATCTTTTACTTTATGTAAATATGTGAAACTTAGCAGGTAGAGATCATTTGGTAATTTATTTTAGGCGACAATTCTATTAATTGAGGCATTTTAAAAAATGGTGTTAGAACGCTACTTAAATAAACGTAAATGAAAAAGTTTTGCATTTGTCAGAGCATTTCATTTCCTATAATTATTATTCACTTGTTTTATGCTTAATTAAAGAAGCACCGTTATTAGCATACGTGGGTAGGCAGTATCACATTAGGTATATCGTAATATAACACGTGTTTTCTTATGCTGAAACATTAGAAAAATTATTGACAGGTAATTTTATCTTTTGCATTAGTCGTCGGATCTTGTAAATTTGTCGCAACATAAATTATATATTATATGTTACTTCTTAGAATATGAATATATTAAGACTTCATTACGCTTATAAAAGATGTTCAAATGTCTTTAGAAAATTTTATATACTCATATGATAATTATTTAAAATAAATATTTACGAATTGAAATATCTTCGAAGCACAAATAGCTGTTTCATCAATCGTATTCCGAATAATTTCCATCTCATTTTTATCGAAATTGATTTGTAACGTTTGAATGGACCCGAGTGAGCTTACCTTGCATACCTAGAAGATGGTATATACTCAGTTGTGAAAAGTCATCACATTCGGTTGAATTCTCTTTGGTGAAAGAGGTGAAGAAAAGGACGGTCTTCGTGCGCGACGAACATAAAGAGAAAGGGGTACGGACAGCTAAAGTAGCAAAGAGAAGCCGACTTGGTACGCCGGTGGTCGTGATGCACCTTTCCACTGGGTCTTGAGTTATGTTTCTCGAATTACCATGGATATATATCCGTGTATAGAGAATGAAGTACGCGGAATTATACTGCTCGCTTACTGTTGTCCGTCTTTTGCATCGAAAGATGTTTCGGCTACATTCCGAATGCTTTATCAAAGTTTCTCTTGATCATCGTAATATAGAAATTAGAAATTTTATCGAAGAATTCGGAAGGTTTAGTATATTTTTAAAAACTAATATATTCATATATGTATATATTCTACATATGTATATATATATATATATATATATATATATATATATATATCGAAAAATTAGTATTCGGGAACATACTCACTACGTGTCTCTTCACTCTGACATTTCTTAGTTTATATAAACGGTCCTGACACTTGAGTCGCGGTAATTTTCTTTGTCCAAACCGGGCTTGGACTTGACACTTCGTGCATGAAGTTTCCCTCTGACATTTCTCTTGGCAAATGTAGACGTCTTGACGCTGGACCATAATTTTCTTTGATACATCTTGCGTGAGTGAACGTCCGACAGGAATATCTTGAGAGAAGTGTCAAGTGTAAAGCTACCTCGAATCGCTCGCAATTTGAAAGTTAATGTCGGCGGAAGTACTTGGCAAATCGTGTCGAAGCTGTGTGGTTTTCTATTTTAAAAAGGATTTCTTGTGTAGTGAACGTATGAAAGAAGAAATCATCTTAAAAGCTTTTTTCGTTTAATCGAATTGTTATCACGGATTCTCCTCGTCCTTGACAAGTTCTTTTCTTTTTTTTTTTTTTACTTTGCTGTCGACGAAAGACCGAAGCGAGTAAGTTAGAAGAAAGGGTTTAGGGGCGACAATGGACAATGGCGCAATAATCTACAATAGAGATCCTCTTAGAGATTCCGTACCGAATGAATAGGGTAACCGGACAATCATCTCGTAAATTCGCTTTCCTTACGCGTTTCTTCTTCCCTCCACACCCCATTCTTATCCTTCTTCGTTTCGCGTTTTGTGGTCCTAGAGGAAGGAAAGACCTAGAGGAGTCGTCTCCTTATGCGAAGGTGTTCAGTTGGGAGTCTTCTTGATCTCGGGGTATACAATTCCTATCCATTTTGTTTCCATTTCTGGAACACATTGCTACTGTATCTACTTTAGTAAATTCCAAAGTACTTGGAACTTGGATCGTTTCAAGTAGGTAATGTCGACTTAGCTATACTTTAGCAGACGTTCATTGTCTCTTCTACTCATCAAAGATTCCAGGAAGATATAAAGTTAATCATTCATAAAATATAGACTCAACTGAAATACAATATTCGTTATTCTTCGGACTTCCTGATTAGACGCGTATCATCATCATTTTCAAAGAAAATTAAATCATAGTCAATGATATTCTTACGTAGGAGATTCTACTTAAGGTGTCGGATAATGATACTTTTCAGAATGCGTGGAATGTGATTACAGGAAGTCACTACTTATATAATGAACCTTCTCTATTCTTAGAGGTTAGTTTCATACCGAAGATTTCATGCATTCTTTGAATTTCTGGAAAAACGGTTCTAATACGCGTGGAGTACGCGAACGAGCGTAACGTATTTCCGTGGCTAGTAGTAAATACCTGTCACGGCTGAAACATAGGTTGTATATACCGGTACTTTGAATACCGGTATAGTAGAAGTTTGTTGCAGCTTTCGCCGGTGTCGCGATCGCGTACAGCCCGTTTCACGTTTACCCGTCGTACACGAGAGTGGTACGTCAACGTAAGCAGTTCAACGAAAAAGTGCTCTTTAAGAGGGAAATCGTACGGTGCTGGCGCCAGAGACGGCGACCAGTACAATCTATCTTAAGCTCTGCTCAAATAGGAACTAGAAGTATTGCTGCTGTCTAAAGAAACGTGCCATAAAAAGGCGCTATTTCGTACACGCAAGAAGAATCTAGCTTAACCGATCTCTCACCGGTTTTTAAGAATGAGATCGGTAAAACCGGAAAATATTTTATCGTTTTTAAAAAATACCGGTTACGTTCTGAGAAACATTTTATTGTCTTTCGTTATCGTATACTTCTTATATCTTTTAATTTTTTTTTTCAATCGAAAATTTGTTTATCGGTAATAATTTTGTTTCCACTACAAACGCTTCGCGATTAGAATACAGTCAATGATATTACGAGGAACTTTTCAAGTTACCACCTACATATGATCGAAGTCGTTTCGCGCGTAATCGTTCTTTATCATTCTCTCTCTCTCTCTCTCTCTCTCTCTCTCTCTCTCTCTCTCTCTCTCTCTCTCTCTCTCTCTCTCTCTCTCTCTCTCTCTCTTCTTTCTTTCTCTCTTTCTCGCGCGCGTGCCTATGTATGTATGTGCGACTGCTTATGGAGTGCAAGAAAGAAAAATGTACGCACCGGTATCGTGCTAGATAAACGTGGTTACAAATTAACCGACATTCCTATTCCTGTTCTTTTTCGCGGACGTTCCTCGTTCACCGGCACGCTGCTCTTGGCTCAACGGCTCACCACCTTTCTCCTCATCAATCCTGTTCGTTCCTATCGATCTCCCTGCTTGTCGACTTCGACTTCAATACTTCCTCGTACCTCGAATAGCTTTAGCTTGACCGCAATGAAAAGCGACACCTTCGTGCATATACCGTGTATGTGCTGTGCTCGCACGCACAGATATCTTTCCTCCTTTCGATTTTACAAAATGTATCATAATAACGATCAAACAAAAGGTTACTTCTGCGTTTTCTAGAATAGATAAATGGATTGCAACGTTGATTATAGTATTTTCGTAAGCCCTCTGATCGTCGGGGTCAATTGCTTTATCTAACGTTAGTTTAATTGACAAGAACTAATGTTCAACGAACACGAAAAGACCCCATTAAAGTTCCATCTACTCGTAGATATTATAAATTTCAACGGTCTATCAACCTGACATAATTATATATTGCTGTCTTCGATTTTAAATCCAAACAATTTAACATGAGGTATATTTCCGAGATGAAAAAGTTTAATCGTAGATTCGTACACGTTATAATATCTAGTAATACGCAATCAAATCGTCCAATTACATTCAAATGAAGAAGAGAAATTTACATAACTTACGTAACGTGTGTGTTCTTTATACCTAGGATAAAATGTACTGTCGTATTTGAATTCTCAACGAGACCAAGTCAATCTGCATTCGGGACGTATCGCGTAAGATAAAATCTTGCGTTCTTCGCGCAAAGTCACAAGATTTCTAAACGAGGTACGACCGGCTGTTGGCCAATCGGTAGCTCGATTTTCGTAGCATCCAATGGTCGACGATGATGTTTCTTCCCGGAAAGAGGTGGCCCAACAAGCGGCATTAGAGTAGGAGGACAGGTTGATCGTAGTGGGAGAGAGATTGCAGTGGATGGCGAATGCAATCGTCAGCCATCGGGCCTTCTTTTCTTGCCTGTTGCAACGTACTACGACTGTCGTCGCTGAAAGCGGAGGTGGGCCTTACCGTGAATGAAACGCCATTCGTCGAATCGATGCTTAGCAATCTTTTCGAGCGTGGGAGTTCGGGCGTAATGCGCAATATGGGCAGGTCTATCTTAAGTTTATATACATACGTACCTATGTACTTGCGTCTCGTTACATGTCATACAACTTGATCATCGAGGACCAAAACGATGCTCCTCCCTTATTTAAATCGTACCACCTTTTGCACGTGCTCGTTATACAGAATCATAGTCGTGCTCTAACGTAGAATGGATTCTCCAAATAGTAGCGCTCGTTCGACCATATATTATATATAATAGATTATAGAGTTATGATGGAGAACGTGAAGGGCGGTAAGCGGTAAGGCGGAAAATATAAGAGGGCGTAGCTTTACAAGAAGGTAGGGGAGAGATCGAGGCAGGTCAGGGCCAGAAGGTTTAGCGGCGAAGGTGGCATAACGCTTTTAAAGTTGCCCAGGAGCGTGGGCGCCGGCTGGCATATCACGATCGTCGCCAGGTTGCTCCACATATATCGTCGGTTCTTGAGTGAAAAGAACAAAAGGGGCCGCCACTGGTATGGACCAATGGGCGAACGCGAGCATGGGCACGATGTCGACCCGAGGAATTAGCATCGACCCCACGAACATCGAGTTCTCGATCTTGATTCTCCTACTTCTCCCTTACCCCTTACCACTTCTACCTACCTTCGACCGTCGATTGATTCGTTGCGGTTGTCCCTAATTGACTGTTAGCTATGTACCACCGCAATCCCTTGGTATACGAAGTCGAGTCTTTATCGAATTAATTATCGTCATGGAGAATAGGTAATTCCGTTATGTGTCGTGAACGGCAACAACTCTCTTGTCTTACGACTCATCTCGTTGCTTCGTTGTTTTGTATTCAGCGATACGTAAATAAAGAATAACGAATGACGGATATTTCCTCTCGTGAGTTTGTTATTTTCTTTAATGTCATCACGTCCCCTTATTTGTTAGGTACGTCAGCATAGTAGTAGCTGCGGAAAGTATCTGGAAATACATTAAAAAGTTGATTTATGTCGATGTCGCTCGTTACGATCCTCGCGTGGGCGAAACGCACCGTCTTGAACTACCAGCGCAGCTGTCAGTATCGTTTAGTAAACGTCAACTCTTACGGAATCGTTCGTGGTAGGCGCATATTTTGAGCAGGTTCTCAGTTGGATCGTCGATGAAAAAGTCAATTGAGAAAAAGTTAAGCGCGACCACTGGAATAATAATTAGAGCAGCATAGGCTGGTATTTAGGCCGTTGGGTCCGATCAGGCACGCACGTTCAGCCGGAAGCCTATTAAGCTGGAATTTCATAATGGGGGAGTGTCCGTCGACCGCGGTATCGATGAGTTATGCAACTTTCGCTCGTTACGGTGAACAATTGTGCCTACACGCGAATACGTTCGCGAATTAATTACTCGCGTGACTCTCGCACGAATTTGCCGATCGAATTTATCGGACTTATAAGAAAGAAATCTTTATCTTTTCAACGTTATACCTCTAAGTTGTCGATGGTTTTATTCAAATATTTCTCGTATGTTCGTATTTATGAATATATGTATATAGGTAATGTATCTACTATGTCTTCTGACAAATCGCATGCACGCTCGACCGACTTAGGGAAAATACGTGCTTTTGATTGTCGAAAGTATGTTGAGGCTCAGTGGACTATCGTAAAACGCACGCGAAAAGAGACACTCGTTCGCTTTTACATAATGTCATATCCGGTTATGTAATAAACGCATATGTATACGAATGTATTCGCCGAAAGCGAGTTGTTACGTTACGGAGTAATGTTCGATGCGGTGCGCGAGATAAGAATCACTCGAAGGCAAATTGAATAATTTCATCGATACGTTTCCGATGTTACATACGCGAGGCATGTATATATGTATGTAAACATGTATACCTATGTATATACGTACAATCTAAACTCGATGCGTATTCTTTGACTTTGTGGTTAAACTGTATATGGTAAGAACATTATCGTTATCTTCACCGAATCGGCCACGCTCGGGGACGCAGGAAGCGATCGGGAAGGAGCATTTGTAATTGAAGAAATAATTATACGAAATTGTCGACTAATATACGTACGTGTGTTCCGTAAGGAATCACGCGATGATCTTTGAAACTCGAAGCAGATGCCAGTAAATATTGCCGCTCGCGCGCCTTCTTAAATCAATTTGTTTAAGTAATTAAGTTAAGCTCGACAATGTGAGCAATTTACAAGTTGTAATATCGCAAACAGTGGAAAATAATGAGCTCTTCTTTTCTCCTCTTCTTTCCAGAAAGCAATAAAAAAAAAAAAAAAAAAAAAAAAAAAATGAAAAAAAAGTAAAAAAGATAAAAAAGAAAAATATTATGTAGCTTTCTTCTAATACTATCAGAGAATTCAGATATAAATATCTTGCATTTATTCGTTGGTCTCACGCTCTACCGATTATCTTTATTAGTTTCTTCGTTAATTCCACGAGGAAGTCGGCAAAAGTGGTGGATTTATTGCGGCTGCATTTGAAGAATCGTCTTTTTCTTTCGCCCTTATCGCACGTTATGCGAAGCGATAGCCAAAGCACGCTGGCGTATCGCATGGGCACGTTCTCGCGATACGTCGTCGCGTCTGAATAAAAATCAAAGAAAAATGTGCGGAGGCCTACCTGGACGGTACGCCGATTCGTTGAGTGCACATTTGAGAGCGTCACGCCACAACGAGTTTACTACCTGACTTTAAAAGCGAGCTCGCTTTGTCACAAGCAGCCTTGCAAGGCTGATACCGGTTCGATCTATGCCCACGTGGAGAACGGCAATTTTAGCTCACCGCAGAAAAATCCTTTCTTACTGAGACGACGGAGAGCGCGGCGGAACAGAGAATGTGAGGCATTCGGTGGCATGTACCGCTCGAGAGGGGTGAACAACCCTATTTTTGTTCGTTTTCTCGCCAGTAAGGCGTGGAACTCGACGAATCCCGTTTATTCGTACTCCTTCGATTATCGTTCGGTTATCTTTGTTTTTTACCTTTTATAACAGTGACAGACGTTTATATGAAAGAAAAGTATATCGTTGACGTCGCGTTAACGTCGACGTTAACCTCAAACAAACGAAGTCTCATTGTAATAGTTACCTTTAGGAAACTTTATATTTTTACAAGACTCCCGTTTTTTTTTTTCCCCCCCTGTTTACATTTGCATCTTGTTATGTAGACAGCATTATGACATGTAGAAGGACACGCCTCGTCAATAAGAGTTAAACGAATGCATATAGTTATACATGCATACAGATTTGTATATAGGTATATATATATATATATATATATATATATATATATACATACATAGATATATGTACGTAGGCGTGCGTTCGAGTTCGCGCTCACGCGCCTACCGAGTTTTCTTATCGCACTATATCTATATCACGAGGCTGACTATGGAGCACCGTGAAAGTTTTCGCAGACGGCAAACGATCCTCCATGGCGGAATTATACGGCGGATTATCTGTCCGTGAGAGACGTCGGCACAGCCCTGAAGGCGAACGCAAGCATGGTTTTTGATCTCACCGCGACGATTTGTACCCGCGATCCACGTAAGAAGAACGTGCCTTGTCCTGCCGAGACAAGAGCCTAGCTCTCTGTCCCTCTCTTTCTCTTTCTTTTCCCTTCTCAATCCTTTTTCCTTTTCCATTCGTTCGTCTGAAGGAACAGAGAGAGATAGAGAGAAAGAGAGAGAGAGAGAGAGAGAGAGAGAGAGAGAGAGAGAGAGAGAGAGAGAGAGAAAGTAAGAGAGAAGAAACAAGAACTTTAGCGAGTCAGATCTGCAGTCGTCTTTCAAGCTCTGACAAATAGTCGCCTGAGTCTTTTCCACGAGAGAAGCGAGAAGAGAATCCACCTTGAAACTCTCGATCTTCTCTCCCGCGAGAGTTTTCGCGATTTTTTTTACCCCCTCCTACGTGATCGGCCATGCGCATAATTGACGTCAGGAAGTCCTGCGTCAAGTGCAACCGCGCGCGAGCGTACATTCAAACGTCCGTCAAAGTAGAAACGAGGAAGAAGGCTCACGCGTAGGCAGTCGATGCTTCGTCGGAAAACGGATAAGATCGAGACTGGGAATATCTTCTCTCTCTTTCTCTCTCTCTGTCTTTCTCTGTCCCTCTTTCTGTTTCTCTCTCTTTCTCTCTCTCTCTCTCTCTCTCTCTCTCTCTCTCTCTCTCTCTCTCTCTCTGTTTCTATCTTTATCTCTCTTTCTCTCCTTCTCCTTTTACGAGTAGTACGACGATCTCGAGGTTACCAAAAATTCATCGGCGGGTCGTAGGAGTCGACTCGTGAACCACTCGGAATATTCTCCGACGAGTTTATTTATTATCTAGTTGTACCGTGGAACGACAGATTATAAAGTACGCCTGGAAGGCACTGTAAAAGCCGATACTGGAAGCGAAGCACGCTGATTGGTCTTTCGCTCCTTCTTAACCGGTCGCTGCGGCTCGATTTGTCTCGAAGGAGAATCAATCCCCGTTAATAAAACAGGTGATGTGATTCGTTGATTTGTTGACGATCTGGCATTAATCGTTTAGGTTAGTCTCTTAAAAAGAAACAAATAAAAAATGAACGATAGGATAGATTATGTACTGTTATCGATTATCGATACGAGAAATATCGTCTCGATGATGATCTTTTCTATCGATACACACGGACTTGTAGCGAAGAACTCACGAGAGCGCTCGGCTCTTAGACGCGCGCAACCCATACGCGCAAGTTCAGCCTTTGCAACCACTGCGTCCGCGTTCGACTAATAAATTCCACGTGGCCCAGAATGATTTACGATCGTCCTCTCGTTGCGAGTGTATTAGGCCGCGCTGTAAATCTCAAATTCTTTCTGGTACGGCACAGCAGCCGCAACACACCGGCCGGTAGGGCGAAACGAAAACCGCAACGTGTCCGAGACTCTCTACGCGAGAGAATGAGAGACGCGCAAGAGATTTTCTTTATGCGAAGTACACGATGGAAGTTCTATACGCGAACAGTGCTAGCACCCATTCCAAACGTTTGCTGAAATCGAGAAAAAAAGAGAAAGAGAGAAAGAGAGAAAGAGAGAAAGAGAGAAAGAGAGAAAGAGAGAAAGAGAGAAAGAGAGAAAGAGAGAAAAAGAGAGAGAGAGAGGGATGATGGATCACCGGCTTATTTGGTACCCTTCATTCCTCAACAATCTCGTAATATCAGAAGCGCGTAATTTTCCACGACATTACGAGCCGCAAAATCGTCCTCAAAGGCGCGAGATTCATGAGGATGTCGGTTGGATGGACAAGTTTTTTTCATCTCCTTTCAAGAGTCTCCTTTCGCAATACGCTTCCTTGAAATTTTACCGAATACTTCGAAAGCGTTTCTCAACGAGTCGAGTAGCACTGCGGGAAGTAGCTACGGAGAAGGACACTCGTTTTATTTTACTTTCGTGAATCGGTCGCTACCGAAGAATTCAAAATAGGGGGAATAAAATTTACTCGACACTCACGGAATCCATCAAGCTTTTTTGCGTTAGTACCGATGCACGATTATGGTGTCCGTTGCGTAAAATACGCGATTCAGTTATTAACGGTCGACAGGCTTCGTTGACTGTTAGTATACGCGTCCACTGCGACGCGAGCTACGTTTAGAACAACGAAGATGACACCATGTGTCTTCGCTGTCCTCTCGAGACGAAATTTATCTCTGCCATACGCTCTTTTTGCATTCACCGGCTTATGTGATTATTTATGAATGCCGAGAAGTTTCTTGCATTTTATTGCGAACCCAGCTTGTCGTCGTTCACATAAATTATTCTAAAATCTGCACACGTCATCGTTGTGATTTACTAATCGGTTAATGAACCTAAAAAGTCGTTACGCTATTGCAACGTTCGCCGATCTTAGCTTTTCCTGTCGCAAACTTATCAACGTTAATAATCGCGAGGCTCGTATTCAAAGCGATACTGTTAATATTCAAGTACGATTTGATCGATTTTTAATTACCTCGTAAATTAAACCGATCGAATATTCGATCGCGTTAACTTCACAAAAAATAATCGGCAGGTGAGCGTTATACTTAATTAAACGTAGACCAAGTTTATACAAACTTTTTAAAAAATTTCAATCGAGCATTCGTGCATGATCAGTAATTAATTACTGATTATTGATAGTCAACATTACCATCGCTTCCTCCATTTAATACGAATAAAATATTTCTTTCGAAACTTACGAAGTATTACTGCTGATGAATCAAATGCTCGCTTAAAACCATGTCTCGTTTGTTAATTGATTACTGTATACTTCGTACTTTCGTACTTATTAATAATTAACGACTGAGCCATCTGCTTCCGAGTTCTCTTTCGACTTCGTACAAGCTACTGGCTTAAAGCTTCGGAATGATAATGATTAAAATCTCAAAACATATAAGAATATATGTTTTTTCTTTTTTTTATTTTCCATGCGATAACACTAGAATATATGAGGAAGACAATTTTAAAAAGGTATGCCTCGATGTTGGCGTTAATTGACAGTCTTCAGTAATTAATCGACGACGTATTGAAGATTCTTCTAACGGATAGAAGAGATGCTCTTCCTAATGGTTTGGTACGAATCTACGTCAGTCGCGTGATTTCAAATTGGATGGTACTCCATCTATCTTCGAGGAATCTCTCTCTCTCTCTCTCTCTCTATTTTTCTCTCTCTCTCTCCGATTATTTTCCCAAGTCTACATACGACCAGAACTCTCGTATCTCTTTGAGAAATCGAAAACGATTCCGGTTTGTGTTAGCTTTGCACTCGAAATAACGTTCGATCGCTGCTTCGAACTCGCGTTTTAATAATCATGGCATCAGTCTTCGTACATTTAAAAACTTTAGCTATCGCGGTAAAAGCCGTATACGCAATGTTCGTCGAGCGACACGTGAGTAAGAAAAGAGCGAGCAAGTACGCGCGTAATCGGTATAGCTCGAGAAACGATCTCGGTTTATTATTCTTTCTCTTTACTGTTCCTTTTCTTCTTCTTCTTCTTCTTCTTCTTCTGCAAAGAGCAAACGTGGCAGCAAAGGTTTATAGAGAAAATCTCGGGATACGTACGTACGTACGTACGTACATATGTATGTATGTATGTAGGTATGTATGTATGTATGTATGTATGTATGTATGTATATATGTACATACATATGCGAGCATTCTCGTGGGCGTCGAGACTGCCAACGAAGAAGTGGATCGACGGTTGCTTGGCAAACAATCCGTTTTATCTCGCGAATCAACGTGATCCTTGCGAAACGAGCTACTCACGGATCGGGCCAAATCGAGAAAAGGATGCCAATGGCGTAGAGTAGTCATAGGTAACATTTATTTCTCTCGCTTCTATTATTCCAATATAAAATCCGTTGTAAAATTATTTTACAAATGGCAGATATAATAAAGACGTTTAAAATTCTTTAAAATTATTTTAACCAAACGATAACTTAACTCAATATATCGATGGTAGGGATTAAACGGATAGGGAAATCACGAGTAGGCTCTAACTCGCTTGAGTACTCAGTTTCTTCGATCAGCTGTAGGTAAAGGACATCGGTTTGCGGTGCTGCCGTGGTTAGCAGCAATGCAGTGCTAAATCGCTCCGACGGACATGGCTATTCGATTAACCTTCTGAACTTTCTTCGTTCGAGGATAAATTATTCTTCGATTTTTTGGTTCCTCCTCTTTACTCCCAGGCCATTCTTAAGTAGAGAAAACGCGCAAGGACAATACGATGTACACGGTGAATTTGTCAATGTCGGTTGTACTGTCACCCGACAGTAAGCCGGACCAAAACCACCGGCATACATCCGCATCCTTTTGTTCCCTTTTGTTCCTTTGCTCGCTGTATCTAATGACGCGTTGCCAAGCGAGGGAACAAGTATAAACTTCGTTGCTATTCGATCGCATGTGGCTCGCCTTATTTTCGAAAAGATCTTTCGTTGATCTTTCGAAAGTAGTTGTCTAAGTAGTTACTCAGGAGTGATAGTTCATCGTACCGTCGTTTCTAGGATCGTCGAGGAGTCACTCGAACGAAAATTTTCTACAAGCGGTAACAGGCCGACGTGAGTGCTTACGTAGCCAGGCAAACCACGTTGCCTTCGCGGATTCTATGCATGACACGTACTCAAGATTAATAAATTACTACGCTTTGACTCTGACGAGGGTTCAAAGCGTAGCTCAAAAACGTAAGGCTCTTGCGTCGTGGCCGCATGAACGTAATTATTTATTCCTTAATATCCACGCTTCTCGTGGATCGGCATATGGAAGACGAGGAAGACGACACTGATTGATTCGTTTATCGAAGAGAAGTTAAGCCCGGTTGGTCGTCGGTTAAACGGCATTAATTGGTTCATGCGAGGCTTCGTTCGCTCGGAAAGACAGGCTACGCTCTTTTTCTGTAATTAGTTTTCTGTCTTTGAAACCTTCTACGGTTGTGGTCTCGTTTTTCCAAGCACCTCTCTAACTTTCGACTTTTACGGACGTTCGAAAGGAGTAAAATAAAGAAGGGAGAAAAAAAGGGAGATGGATAGGCGAGGGAAATGGGGAGAAGCGGGGAGGTCGAAAGAGAAATGTGCGCTAAAGGTGCGTCCAGTTCGTTCGAGTCGAGTCGCGAGAGCTCGATCCGCTTCGACCTGTATGCGGGTAT